GCAATTCCCCAGGACGGTGAGCCATATGTGTAGTTCCATGCGCACGCCTGAATATTGAACTCTTGGATGGGCAGGCTGCACGAGTCATAGCAAGTATGCCTTCGTTTGTGGGACTGATAAGGTCTGCGCATGTGATTCTTGCTTTACTCCCCACTGTCCGCCAGATTTGATGGCCTATTTGAAGTCCCTCAGGCCTGTCTATTCTTTCCTTGAAGTTGCCACGGAGTCCTTCATGCAACACGTACGTTTCTTCATGACGTCTCCGATCCTGTCCCCACTGTTTTTGGCCCGCCCCCGAGCATTCCCGCATGTTGTAGCATACAGCTCAAGCATGCAATGAGAAGTTGTTTTCCATCGGTTTTGGCTTACTGGTCGATGCGCGCAGGTTGCCAATTTGGCATATGTGTATTTAGGGCTCCTCAGCTTAGAAGATTGTTGCTGTTGTCACCACTTTTCGTGTGCGTGAGACCTTGGTTAGCTGTGCGTCTGCTAGCCAAGGTTTCATGCATAGCTGTGCTTCTGCTGGATTTGCAGATTCTAGAGTTACCGCCAGCCCACCTAGCCCAACTGTTGCGGTGTGTTGAGGACGGCCTCTGCGCACAAGAAACAGTGCTGATGCAGTCATGCGCCACCTTGGGCCATTTTGTTGAGTTCATCTTCAAGTACAGGAATTCCGAGGAGAAGGAGGGAGATGTAAGACTGGCCGCTTTCCACTTTTCCAATTTCCCTCTATTTCTTGTCGCGCTTGCGCTTCATTGGGGAATATCTTCACAGACTAGCTTTGCCTTTTGGGACATTGTGGCGTTGACTCGTTAGTTTTGAACTGCAGACTCCTGCAGACTCAACTACTATTGCATCAATACAGCTGGCCTAATTTGCCGTGCCCGAGGCGTGACGTTTCCGGAGTTCCGGATGAATGGTAGATACTGCAGGTGGTTAGTTTCTAAACATGTAATGGAGGGTAAATATGCATGTAACTGCGTAGGAAAAGTAAGGTGGTGTGGTTGCGGGGTCACGCAGGCCGTCCGTGCATTCCTTGAGGCACAGCCGGGCAGTTTGCCGCGAATGCTGCAGCTGATATTCCAGCTGCTCATGACAGGTATGTATTTGCCATTAAGTGGGGGGATGCAAGTGTGTAATGGTTCGCCTATTCTCCGGCTAGTCTAGGAAGTGATTCAGGCCGTTTGCCCCTCTAGTAGATGTTCTATGCGCTTACATACAACATTACTAGAGGGGCATATGGCGTCAAGTTGTTATGCCTCTAGGTCGTGGCTTGCGGTGAGGATAGATTGTTGGAAGCTATAGCTATAGTGCAGGCCACGGGGAACTTATCCACTAATTAGTTTACGCTGTCTGATTTGCCATTCATGTTTCATCGGTTGGGTGTTAATTATCCACTGGATTTGTATTTTGTAGCATGATTTTGTGCCTTTTCAGGGCAGCTGCCGAACCTGTTCGCAATATCGGGTGTCTTGTTGGGCCTGATTGTGCTGCAACAAAATGAATACTTGAAGTTGAAGCAACAGATAATTGAGCAGCAAATCGAGAGCAAGAGACCACAGTAAGGAGAAGATGAGTGCTCCATTTTAATCAATAAATGCCGTGCCCGCAGGGCCGTTGTGAGTTTCGCATGCTGTGGCTTCCATCTGTCTGGCAGCGCTCTTGTTTCCTGC